TATTTACCAGTCAGCACAGCCAGAGACCTGTGATCTGTGATATTGTTGCTTCTCTCTGGTCTTAGTTGTCCAGTTGAAAGCATCTTGTTCCCCATTTAAAATGGATTTCAATTTTCGAGAGTAGAATCCATGTAGAATCCACCTCCACGTGCATGATCCATACCCACTACAGAACAGCCTGCCCCAGCCGGCAGAACCAACGTGTGGGAATTTGTGTGTTCAAAGGACTGAACTGCACAGTGGAAGATACCTGTCAAGTGCTTAAAGATGCATGAGAGTGCTCCATCATTAACGAGATGCTTTGATGGAAAGTTCCACACCGGAGTAGAAGATATTGACAGCGAGTGAGAAGACAGACAGAGGAGTCCACAGTAGGCGTAGTACGAAGAGAGAGAGGAAAGAACTGGCACACAGTTTATTTCTGTTCATTCTGGAGCCTAAAGCTGTTTTCACAGTCACATTTTGGAAATTAGTTTTCACTGTGGGACAAAGAGAAATGTGTATCTTTGAATTTTAAGGTGAAGACGTGCTTGAAGGTTAGGGAACGGTTGAGGTTAGGGATGGACAAGTAATAATTATGGTTAAGGTAATGTTACAGGAAATTAATCTATGTCAATGTCATGTCCTGAGGTCCAACCTGATCCTTTCTTATTAATGTGAAAAGCATAAATACCAAGGATGCACATTTTATAACTTCATCAAACAAACAACAACTTGTCAGTGTTACCATGACAACAACTTGGCCTTTCTTACAGTGTTATAATTGTGATAACTTTCCCAGATTTGGTCAATGTGACTTAGCAACTGTTATAATTCAAAACAAGAGACCGTTATCAAAACTTTTAAAGGCCAGGCCTCATGACTGAGCAGCAGGAAACATCTGTGTGGAGGAGCAATTGCAGCAAACACCATCCAGTCCATCACTACCCATCCTTTATGCATCCTGTATCCTTTACCAAGGCCCTTCACTCAACATTATGTGTCTATTTTTACATTAAAATAACGACTTGTAGTAAGGAAAAGGAAAAAGTTGTGGAAACATTTTCTTTTTTTTCCTTTTTTCCTAA